TTTTAAAAATGAAACACATTCAGGACCTCGATGATACAGCGGCTTACCAGAGGGCAGCAGTATCTGCAAGGTCTATCTTATGTGGATCGAAAAGTGCTGAGATGCTTTAGCAGGCAGCTTTCGATTGCCAGCGTTAAGGAGGTGGTTAATCTGATCAAAGTAGCAATGAAGAATTGGGTGACCGTCTACTTTGCTTGAACGTTGTGGTTATATTTGGGAAAGTGGTTAGAAAATAAACCTCCAGAGAAAAGTTTTAAACCAAACTCCTCTTCTAGAAATGAGTGACATCTAAGATTCATGCTAAATGCCATCTTCGCAACGAGTCAGATCATGCTGTTTGATAGTGAGATGCAAGTAATTGCTCCTCCGAGGCTGTGAGAACTCAGCTTTTCAAGAAGACGCAGGTGTAATTGCTGAGCTTTTCGCTTGTAAGTCGGACAAAAAAATGGGGGTGAAGGCTGTTTGATCGTTATTGCTTGAGCACGCTCTTTGAAGTAGGCTACAATGCCTTCGTTGTGCACAAGACAGTCTCTGCTCACTACGACAATGTCAGAAACGTATCTCAGGCCATTCAAAGAAGAAGGCTAAGGTGGGTTTGGCAGTCTCTGTCGTCTGCTCTAGGACTTAAATATTGCTGCTTTGGATCAGATGCAGCTACCGAAGTGGAGGCGACAAAGGGGAGGAAAGCATATGAACAGGTCCTCAGTAGGCTCCTTCCATTGTTGAGGATCGGACTACGGCAAGCTCTCCAGGTGGGTTTCTGTTGATCAGGGCCCATGGGGAAACGTTACTCGTGGTGGTTTAGAACAGATATCATCGCAGCCTAAACGGGCGACTCAGATTAATGAGCCGAGACAATCGGATTGCCAAAGCGATTTAAAAAGTAAGTAGTTTAAAAAAGGGAAAATAAATACCATGGATAACTTTGCTCCCTTAGTGCAGCTGAGGGCAATTTGCTAGGGTCAGTAAACGCAAGGGCCTTTCATCAGATTCCTAAGCATTTACGGGAGGAAAAATGCCTTACCTTTTTGTGTGTGACAGGCGGAAAAGTCGAGCTCCAATGGAAGGATTTGCCATTCAGGTGTCCTTTTCGTGCCGATGGTGAATGCAGGGAAGCAGTCCCTCTCGGCACTGAGAATAAAAAGAAATAACCAAACGTCCGTCTAAGACACCTGATGACGGAAGTTAATGAGGAATAAAGAAGGGTAAGTAAAAATGTCCTCGTTGAATGATTCTAGGTAATCTAACTAGTGACACCTTATCTATTCAGTTCTAACTGGCCAAATAGCATGTTGGGTTGACAGAAAAATTGTAGAAGTAAACACAAAGGGATACGACAGGACGGACATGAGAAGGTAGGTTGGTCCATCAATGCCCTTAATTTTTTCAAATAAAACTAGATAACAAAGGGGAAATAATAGACCCCAAACAGTACTGAGTCTGCAAAAACTTGTAGGCTTTGGGATAGTTCAGGTAAGCATAGAGTAACCGCCCTGTGTGTGACGTGTTCCACAAAAGACGTCGCTTTCAGCCTAAATTTAGGCATTAGTGCTTAAAGAATAGCACGCCGTGAGGGCAGAGTACCAGTTATTTGTTTTTTTGTATTTCTTTCCTTTAACAAACTGCGGAGTCTGCGAAGATCGAAAAGTAAAACAGCATTCTAAAAATTTCCACTCGGTATCCGCTAGAAGAAGAGATTGTTTAAATTTCGCTAAGAGTCACCTTTATTACGTCCATTTTGAGATAATAGGTTATACGAGTGCCATAATAAGCACTCTCCAAACCGCATTTCGGTAGGTTCGGCTAGCCTTGATCTAAATCTTCAAGAATTTATTTCTCAAAATAGCTATACCACAATCTTCGGAGACGAACAGTGGGGAAATCCGCTTACAGATTCTTCACCACTAAAGGTAGTAAGCATTTGCTTCACACAGGCATCGAAAAGGACGCAAATCACCAGGCATCTAAAAGATTTCCTGATCAAGGCGCTACAATTAGTGTGGTTTTTTACTTTATCGGCTGACGGGTATCTGAGGTCGTTCCTTTTAAGGACCGGGTCAGCTAAGGATATTTTTTTATTTAGAAATTCAGTCTGTTTTAAGTATTTCAGATCAGTAAGTATCTACTACACTGACAGTGGACAGTTCGATTGTCGATTTCGATGATACCCACTGCGGGCTTCAACAAGCTGAAGGTGATCACGGTGACTCGCGCGTTGATTAGTGTCAG